AGGAAAAGAAACCCAGACAACCATGTGTACTTCAGTTGAATACATTTGTAGCAGTGCGTCACGTCGGAATATTGTCTAAAATAAAATATTCAATCCCAGCCAAATCTAGGTCAAAGGGTCAGATTGCGTGCATATAATTATAGATAGTTAAAACAAAAAGTATTTGAACTTTTGACGGTTGTTCAACATCTATACACGGTTACTAAACTTCTTTGTTTGATGAAGCGATGCTGATGCCACATTGTCGCCATAATGAGGCCACAATGAAGCGAAGCGATAATCGCCTAACTTTTTAATGTCGCGACATTGAAGCGATGCTGAAGCCATAACAATGCCATAATGATGCGATGCTAAAGCGAAGGTGAAGCTGAAGTGAAGCCAAAGCTTCCGCGAGAACTGTACTGTATTATGTTTGTTAAGCTGTTCAATCTAGGCACCACCACCATGTGTGTGGACCATCCCAGGGCTCTGACCTAGAATTTAACTTGTAATTGAACATAATAGAGGTACACCAATGAGCTTCACAATGTATCTAGTAGCTTAGACTCAAAATTAAGTTTATAGCAGATGAAAGTATTTAAATAGTTCTAAATGAGAAGGGCATAATGATCATTTTCACTGGATTTAAAGTGGGCATGTCAAAACCTATATAATTGTTACAATAATATGTAACAATGTTTCTGTATTACTAAAAATGATTTGTTCATTTTTGGCAAGATTCCAATAGTTTCTCTATATTTTCAGACTTGAGGTTGCACAGTACCATGCTAGACATTACTCTGTAACTCCACTGGGACCACGATCCGGGCTTATACAGTGGGTAGATGGTGCTACTCCACTATTTGGATTATACAAGAGATGGCAACAAAGAGAGGCTGCAGCAGCTGCCATGAAAGCACAGGTAATACAGCTTGAATATTTTAGGTACATTGCTCGCTGTCATGCTTGATGTAAACAATGTATTTAAAACTGTATTTGATATATTTTATTAGTCCCCGTTTGGACGAAGTCCGAAAACGGGGACTTATAATTCGGTCTCCGTGCGTCCGTGCGTCCATGTGTCCGTGCG